ACAAGTTCTACAACTTTTTAGTTTAATGTTTTTGTCTAGCTCCCCTCCTTCTTGAGATATGCGCCTTTGAAGTAAGATAGAAAAGCTACTGAGAAAAGACGCTCACCTTACCTAAAACAAGATGGATTTACGATATGCAATTGGCATTTTTCAAATTAAAAATATCAGGAAACCGTTTAAAAAACTGATTGCTCCAAATAAATTGAATTCCTTTCTTGATAGATTTACAATATTTGACATATCCGACAGGACCCAATATTCGGTAAATGTTCGTTGCCATTTTATGCCAGTTCTAAACGTTTTTATCAAATTTGGATGATGTGAACCCTGTAAAACTGATTCCGAACTACTTTGATCCAATTTTTTACCATTTCATTCAAAAAATCCCTGGATCCATCCCTGAAATCAGGAACCCCTGCCCTCCACCAAAAAAAACCAAGACCCCGTTAGATAGGTTATTTTTATATTAGTTATTTTTTCGTATAGCTGATTGATTCGTTGAGACAGAACAATCTGGTCCCCCTACGTATATTTTTATCCCTTGGTTCCCCTGTTCGCTCCCCCAAATAAATAACAGATTACCAGCAACCTCTCCCAAAGTCAACAACGTCACTGCTCACTGAGCTTTCTCTCCCTCCCCGCTCCCCATCTTTTTCCCCCTTCATCATAAACACGTACACACAAAAAGTATGGCATGACTTTCAAAGACCACAGCATCACTCTCGCTGTCTGCGTCTCTCGGAATGTTCGAGAAGAACCGAATTTGCAGAAGCATCTTCAGTGGTAAACAAGTCTTTCCCTTTTCTTCCCAAAACAACACATAAAGATGATCATCAAAAGTTATAAAAAGACCGGACCGCCCGTCTTCCTTTCTCCACGTGTACTACACGGGCATCCCTTTAAAGATAATGATAAGAGACCGCCCATGTTAACGGACAAGAAAAGAAGGAGAAGAAAAGTTATTTTTAGACCCCATGACTTTCGAAAGACACTGTTTATGATCTCAAATGTCACGTCGGAACGTTCCGGTGTCAGTGACCAAGAAGAGTGTGACCCCTTTCTGTTTGTTTGTAGGGGAGTACAGATGTTGCAGAGATGTGTACTTGGAATGTGCAGAAAAAAGTCAGGTGGTCATGTTGCAGATGGAGATCTGGAAGTGATGTTGACCAACTGTTCATTGGTCAGATCTGGTCTTGGCCTGGTGCCAACTTGACCATGTGTCAGGCCCAAGCCTGCTTTTTCTCAGCCAGGGCCCGGCATTAGGTAGATAACAAGTTAGCGAAGAGCTAAGGTAGCTGCGCTAGGATGGAACGGAATGTTTTTGAAGTCCAGAAGTCCAAGCCAAAAATTGATTGGGGTGGACTCGGAATGGAGCAGATCTGGTCTTGCCAACGGGCTATGGTTGGGCCAAGGCTGGCTGTGCTGGTCTGAACCGACTTGACTGATATTTTTTTTCAATATTCCGTGTTCTCTCGAAAAATGAACTTGTAGATCAAAACATTTTCCGTCGATTGAAAGAAAACCAAAAACCCGGGAAAACAAATATTTTCATCTTTTTTTGGTTGATCATAAATTCATATAAGGTTGCATCAGAAAACCTGCGTCAAGAACCTCAAAGCACGATCCTCAGCCTAAAATCCGTTTATTTTTCAGATACGATTCTAGTTTTTTTGATCTACAATTTCATTTTTCTTGCTGACCAAAAATTTCAGAAACTGAGCTCAAAAGAGTCAAAAAACACAAAAGTCCTAACTTGAGCTGACCTTTTTATCAATGAGAGGCAGCTGATTTGGTGGCATTTTGAAAATCTCTGTACAGAGTCTTCATTATTGGCTCGTTCGCTATATTCGGATTGAGCAATTATATTTTCCACAAGTTAAACATTTTTTAAATATGCAAACTTCTCGGAATTCAATTTTACATAAGACATAACCTGAATAACTTCATGCATCTGAAAGACTTCGAAAAACTTGGTGAAAACTGGTGTAAACTTGGTTATGAAAAAATTCAGACCCCTATCCGTTGACGTTCCATCCTTTCCCAATTTCCAATTTATTTTGTTAGATGTCTGGTCCCTTCCCCATTTCTCTTGCCTTTTTTTCATTTTTTGTCCGGTCCCACAGACACCTTATCATATATGCCAATAACACCATATAAACAGACACACGTTATTCTGTTTTTGTAGACCAACAACCAATGGTCTCTTTTTTTCTCCCCAAATGCAAACAATTTTTATTAGGAATTCCCTTCTTGATAACATAATAACATGACGTACTTCTCCAAGACCTTTTTGGGTATGAATTTGAAATTCAAAAACCACAATGGAAGTTACCTTAAAGGCGCATACAAAATTCACGTGTACCTTAACGGCGCACGTTGTATTACCAGATTCAATGATACCTTAAAGAGGCATACGGTTTGAATCCAAGGGAGCCAGTTCAAAAATACATTGGACAGTGTCCACGTGAAACCTTAAAGGCGCATGTTGTGTTATCATTTCAAATACCTTAAAGGCGCATGTACAGTTTGAACCTTTGAAAAGGAACTAGAACTTGAACCAAAAGTCCAAGAGGATTAACTGATTTGATTCCAATCGACTAGAGAAATTGTTGTGTTATCTTATCGAAAAGGTGATAAAACTGCAGGTGTTACATGTGGGAAAAGAGAAGAAATTTCGAGAAAAATGGAGAAGCGAACAGATTGAATTTTGAACTTTCTACGAATGGGTTTCAAAATTTAAAGCAAATTTTATAGTGTTGCATCTTTTGACCCTTATGTCATATCTTTCGGCCTGGTGCTAACACATTTTTGAATAGGACCTCTAATAGAGTGGCACCTGATCATGATTTGTGAAATTGATTAAAGCTCTAAATCGTCTTGAAGGCGCAGGCACTTTCTTTTAAAAAATTGAATGCGTCTTTATGGTAAATGGAGTGCATTTCTATGAATTCCATTCGCTTCTTCATGGGACCGTCCTCTAAGAAAAATGATGAAAAAAGCTCTGGTGGAGCTCATAAAGAGCTCAAATGAGCTTGCTGGATGCAGGAAAAAAAAACAAGAAAAAAATGTGTGGGAATGAGCCAAATTTGATCATTTTTTGAGCCTCCTCAGCGAAAGGAAAGGAAAAAACAACAGAAAAAAAGATTTTGCCTCTGATGGGTTCGAACTCACGAACAGTCTGCCAGATCACCAAAGGCGTTACCGGCTGAGCTATGCGGCCGCCGAGAAAGAAGGGATGCATAGCTCAACCGGTAACGCTCTTGGTGATCTCCCAGACTGGACCCCTGGGTTCAAACCCATCAGAGGTCAAACCTTTTTGTTTTTTTTTTCCAGAAATAAACTTTTTTCGTTTAGGCCTTATGTATCACTCCCTGGAATTCTGAGGATCCAAGTTTTTGGAATTTTCGAAAATTTCAAAAACCTAACTAGATAGTTTTCTTGTTTACTTGGTTTTTTCATCCAAATTGATCATCTAATCGTTCTATCAGTCCCTGCAAACCCTAATTTGATACTCCCCCCCCCCCCCCCTTGCCGTTTCTGAGTGCACCCCTGACCCTTGACCCCCTTATCTTTTTATAGTTTGATTAGATGTCCGCTCATCCCATTTTTTGTGTTCAGTGGGTACATCTGGTCCTTTTCTGGTGACAAATACACCCAGACGACAGTTTTATTATCAGTTGTATTACTGGGGGAGAATAATATGTAGTAATTCTACTATTATCTGGGCAATTTGGATAGGGAGAAAAGTGGGAAAAGATGACAACAATAGGAGAGGGAACAGGTTTTTGCTATATGGAAGAAGATAGGGAGAGAGAGAGAGAGAGAGAGAGAGAGAGAAAGATGATGATGGTTTGGTCTGGATTTGGGGAAGAAGAATAGTGATATCATTCTAGAAGCTTCTGCCATCTTTTTTTTTCCTTTTTGCGCTCTATTGATAATGAAATCGCTCGAAATTTTTCCATCAAATCAAAATCACCGTAATAACAGAGTTGTCGTAAGATATGGTGTTGAGTCTGCAAACACCAAATTTTGACACCGTCACGTCAGAATGCAGATATCCTTTCTAGGAAAATTAAAATGTCATGTTCAACTTAAAATGCTCACGATGTCAGGCAAAATTGGATTCTGTAGCCAGTGCCGAAATTCGGAAAATTTCTTGAGCCGTAGCTAATAGACAGACCGTTTCTGTGGGTTTTTTTCTAATTCTCTGCACACCGTACCCCAAAAGCCAAAACAGAAGCACTGATACACATTTTTCTCATTACTATCCGTCCGGAATCGCAATAAAATATAATCGAAAAATCCAAACCCGTTTCGGTCCCTACCATAGCCTCTGAATCTTACAAACCATCGAACATTGTCAACTTATTTACTGCTCTCTTCCCAAATACACATATTTTCAGCATCTACCGTAACCTTTTGACATCTGACCATTTGAAAAAACACTTTAACGAACCATCGAACATCTAGAAATAATTTCACTTGTTCAACACCTGACTTAGACTTGAACCCCTTTCTTTCCTTCCATTTCTTCACGTGAACTCCCTCATCACCAAGTTTCAGCATTTTCTTCTTCTTTGCTGTTTGCCTAATAAACTTGTCTATGCTGTTAGTCACTGATACATCATTTCACCCTTATAAAAATATCTCAATTCACGTGTATCATGGTCACCGATCACACGTGAACAGAGGGTTTCCTTTAGAAATGAAGTGTTGAAAACAGAAGGAGCAATTTGTAAATAGGTTGACGGCATGGATTGGTGTGATCAAGGTGTTCGATGGTTCGTGAAGGTGTTTATGGGGTACGGTAGTGAAGAAAAAAGGAATTGACCTGAAGAATTTGGATTACTGTAGTTATAAATTGGTAGCTCGAGCACAGAACATTCTAGAAGTTTCCTTTATACCCTAAGATGAGTGTGGCAGCTTCACCAAGAGAGTCCCTGCGAATAAAAAGGGGGTGCGCTACAAGATTAACACCCTCTCTCCTTACGCGTCGTCTTTCTCTTGTGGCGCAGTGGTTAGCGCTCTCGTTTTCAAAACTTTCATCCCGGGTTCAAACCCATCAGGGGTGTAACCTTTTTTGCTTTCTTCTAGAAGCTTACCAGGCAATCCGAGGACATTCTGTAACAGGGAAAGTTGTGTTCGAACTTCAAAAGCAGTGAAAATCTAAACATATCGGTCCGAAAAAGCTCCAAATTGCCTGAGATCTTGCATCATTGTAATTTACCAAAATTTATGTTTTGTTTCTACAAAAACTGGAAGAACCAGCACAAAATTACTACAAAAAAGCGCGTCTTTTTTCAAAATTGACTGAAATTCCAGTGAAATGTTGATCGAGCATAACTTTCATTGATCTTTGTGGTAACCTATTTTCAGATTTCTGTTTTTCTTGTTCTTTGAGTTCTCTCCGACTCGTTCTCGATCTGTCTGAATCCCAAAAACCAAAAGAGATTCTAGAATCGTACTACTTTGTGTTTACTACTTACTAGTAGTTACTGATCCCCCTTTTCCCCTCTATTCAACCCCCACATACACTTTTCAACGTCATTGATCTTTCCTTTCCTTGTTCTTCTTCGTTTTCCCGAAGAAAAACTAAGATCAGCTGTTCTTTCTTTCATCTTCTCTCCCTCTCTCTTTCTTTCTCTGACCACCATCATCATCAAAAATCTTCTTCTTTGAAAAACAAGCTCTCGTTCTTTGAAGATCACCTATGATTTCTATTTGATCTATCTTTGCCTGGGTGATCAATCCTCTCTCGTCGTCTCACGTCTCCAATCATTTCCGGCCCTCAGGGGGCATCATCTAGCGAAGAAGACGGGGGGAAAGGGGCGGAGTTGAGGGGTGGGAAAGGGTATTAAAGGCACTTGGTCTTTTCGCTTTTTCTTCAGAGCTGCTTTTGGGTTTTGGGGGCTCCTCTTGTCTAGACCCTACACTAAATGTGCTCCTTTGATAATTTATCAATAGGGCGCGGTTGGTAGATCAAAAATTCAATTTCTAGCTTGGGGAAGTTTTTGTACCTAGTTATCCCTTGTTAAGTATTTGGTCTCTCAATTTCAAAATGAGCCAAACAATTTTTTTTCGTTTTTTTCTGTCAAAAATTTTTTTCAACTCAAAATTTTCATATTCCCACCAGTAAAATCTATCCTTCGGGTACCCCTGCTCGTTCTCTGATCCCCTTGGGTACACCCCACTTGTTTACGGTTTTCTCCTGTGTACACAGCCCGTGACTTTTCTCCTAGGCTCCGCCCCTTTTTTCCCCGATCTTTTAAAGACACTCCTGTCATTCTACTGTTCATTTTCCACCACTAGCTTTTCAGAAAAAAGTTTTTTTTTTTAATTTTTTCGGTGCAAAAAAAAACAAATTATCGGCTACGTCATCCGATCAAGATCCAAAAATGGCCCGTGTCCGTATATTTCTCATGGTCGATTAGTATCTTATCTCTCAGTCTTCTTTGCCCCCTTGCGCCACCCCATGTTTACTCTCCTTCGTGTTATTAACTGCAAAGAACCTTATCAAAGTTTTCTCTTTTTTGTTAGTTTTCTCTCTTTTCAACTTCCTTCTTTTTTCAGAAACTTTCTACGCTAAAAAAATGGTCCTCGTCATCCCAACCATCCCATCTGTTGCTCCAATCAACTGTGAGCTTAGCTTGGATTCGGGACGTTGCATCAAATACGTGGCTACTCGGAATGCCAACCCGAAGACTCATGTGGCCGAAGAGTTGCCAATGATGAGAAAAAATAGTCATCAAGGTGAGTAAACATTGAAAAAAGGCAAAAAAATGAAAACGGAAAAAGAAAAAAAGGAATTGCCCCGAACCAGGATCGAACTGACCTTTAGATCCACAGGCAAACCGCTGATAACGAAATGCGTGTACGCCGCGTACGAAATGGCGCACGTGTGAGGAACAAGATTCGACGTCAAATGAGGTTCACATTTGATCCACTTTTCGTACTCCAGCGGTTTTCTGCAGCAGAATCGGGCCCTGGAAACCCCCGTAGCTAGCTAGGCTTTCCAATCAATACAAAACATGAAACAGTGCTTCTGTTGGAGTCCGTTTATTAAGTAGGGAAACTGACTGTACATATTAAATAACGGATATAAAGCACTATACATGTGTTCAAAAGTAAATAATTAAAACTTGTTCACGAACTCGTCCAGAAGATTTGTAGTTGTTGTTCTGTAGTTTGTTGTCCTTTAGAAGTTATTGTAGAACGTCTTGAGGTCTTGGAAAATGAGGGTGATTTTTCCGATTGCCGGGTTATCCAGAATTGGGTGTCCTCATAAAACTGGGTAGAGAACCGAAAAAATGGCAGTTGTTTTTTAAATTAATGATTATTTATTCGTACTCACCAAAATTTTTCCACTCATTGCTCCGTCTAGCTCCAATTCAGGCTCTTAGCTGACGACGGACGCTTTTTCTAAAAATACTGTTTTGATCAATGAAAAATAATTTGATTCTCTTACCTGAAGGGCCAGTAACTGGTGGTGACCACTCACAAAGTCACATACATCTTGTGAGAATTCGAAATTCCTCCTCAAACTTATATTTTCATTTTTGGGAGAAAAAATCAGAAAATCTTACTTTAATAGCTTTCTCTCACTTCATTTGCACCCCTTTTGATTCATCCTCATTCCGAGCTATAGTGTTCTGAAAGAAATGTAGATAATTTTCAGTTGGATCACCAATGCAGAAAGGTTATACCTTCTAACTCCTACAAATTATAAAAAAATATCGACACAAGGAAAAAGTAACGCATAGAAATCGTAAAATAATTGTGAAATGAAAAATTAAAAATAAAATTCCAAGTGGAGTTATATCCACGTTTTGTTCGCTGTTCACACTCTTTTCGTACACCTCAAATCAGAGGGGTCCGAATGGCGAGCATGGCTTTTCTCGACGCGCCTTTCATCCACTTTTGACTCTCAAATCCAAGTAAAATTGTCAGCGCTTGTTTTGAGTGCGAGATGAGGGCCAAATTCGGCTTTTGGCTCGCAGTTCGTTCGCTTTTCGTTATCAGCGGTTTGCCTGTGTCTTCAGTCTAACGCTCTCCCAACTGAGCTATCGAGGCAGCGGTGGGAAGAGGTCCGGAGGGCATAGAGGAAAGCGAGGGGAAGCCGGTTGAGGGAGAGAGAGGATAGAGTAAAAAAAGAAAGCGCGCCAACACCTAGAAGATTCCTTTTTTCAAAAAACTAAAAAACCCATTTCCAGACCACCATGACGATTGGGAGGGTGTCAACACCATCTGCCATACCATCGATAACATTGTAAACGTCGAAATGGAGACCGACTTCTTCGATGGAAAATCAGTCCTGGAAATCGGATTCGTCACTGGACTCCCATCAGTTTATGCATTTGAAAATGGAGCTGATGAAATTGCGATGCACACAATGGATAAGACGAGTTTGGAGCTTTATTGCCGTCCAACACTCAAAAGAAACAATATTCCATTGAACAAGACCAAGGTCTCATGTGGAACTATGGAGGAGCTCAGAAAGTTTTTGGGCGGGAAGAAGTACGATATCATTTTGGCACCGGATCTTCTGAATCGTCAGGAGGCAGAGTTCGAAATTGTTCATGAGATTTTGCATCAAGGACTTTCTTATGACGGAATTTGGTGAGTAAGCTTTCCTGGGAGAATCTATGGAAATGGGCTCTAAAATCCGAAAAAAACATTGAAAAAATTTTAAAAACTTTCTAGAGATCTAAAAACCCCATAGCCGAAAAAACAAAAAAAAACAAAAGCAATTGCCCTGAACCAGGATCGAACTGGTGACCTTTAGATCTTCAGTCTAACGCTCTCCCAACTGAGCTATCAAGGCAGCAATTGTCTCTGTCTCTCATGCCCGTTATAAACCCTCTCTCTCTTTGCAGTCTCTTCTCCTGCCGTACTCACTACGCAAACGTCGACGGTTCCCTCAACGCCTTCCTCCAATTGATCAAAAGACGTCGTGAATTTGAGCCAATCGAGAGATGGTCATCCCCAAGAACTGATATTATTCAACAGAAGGTCTTCCAACTCACTCGCTCGTTGTTTTAGTAGTCGTCGATACCGAACAAAAATCAATCAATAATCTGTAAATTAGAAATACGTACCGGATTGGTACTAGCATCCTTTTCACTATATTCTCCAACTGTTACGGTTATGAAATCTCATCACTCTCAAGTTTTACTCTCTGTTCTTTCAAATTCTCTTGAAAAACAATATATTGTGCTCCACGTTCATCATTTTTGATGCTTTTTTATTATTCAAAAAAAAAACTAATAAACTTTTTTGTTCTATTCATTTTGACTCTCACACAACAACAAAAAATGCGCGAACACAAAAAAATTGACTCATTCTTCCCATGAGCCTCAGTAAGCCTGCGGCTCACGAGCTTTTCCGTAAGCTCATGAGCCTTTTTGGAGAAGAGCAAAGGCTGAGCAGTGACGGATTAGTGCAATAAAAAGAGCTTTGAAAAACGGCTTAGAACTGAAAAATGGGTTGTGACGTTGTTGGTTTTTGGTGGTAGACTTTCAGAGGTTTAGGCTAGAAATAGATGATTTTTCAGCTGCTATCGCGACATTTTCCAGATTTTTGATCGACTGTATATCGAGAACGGGTAGAGCTAGAACAATGGTACAAGAGACAAAGTTGTTAAAAATTTTGTGTAGAGAATTTTTGTCTCTTGAAACATTTTTCTAGCTGTAGCCGTTCTCAAGTTACAAGCAATCAAAACTTAGCTACTGGACCAACCACTCATTTTCAACTTTGAGCGACTGTATCTCGAGAACGGTTATAACTAGAAAATTGAATCAAGAGCCGAAATTATATAGAATTTTGTGTAAATCATTTTTGTCTTTTGACTCCTTTGTCTAGCTTCCTTCGTTCTTGAGTTACAGTGGTTCAAAGTTGGCAGTATGGGTCTGCGTCCGCTTCCTTCCAGTCTAACTTTGAATGCCGGTATCTCAAGAACCGTTATTGCTAGAAAAACGGATCAAGAGACAAATGTGTGTAAAATGTTGTGTAGATCATTTTTGTCTCTTGAATCATTTTTCCAGCTCTAACGGTTATTGAGATATAGACGCTCCA